GCGCAAATTAGTGTAAACTGTTCCTTTGGTATGTCAAAAACTATTGTCATTCTGTACATCCCCAAAATAATCAAGAAACAGCGATTTTCTCACGTTCCCCATGCATTTGTGACTGGAGTTGGAACCCCCGGCTGTTCGCCGCTAGTCGCCGAGAGATGGCATTCTAGATTGCGGTACTCTGCTCCGAAGGAGCCATATAGTGCTCTAGGAGAGACAGCCTGGAGCACTATATAGCTTTTTCAAAGCAGAGTACCGCAATCTAGAACGCCGTCTCTCAGCGACTAGCGGCGAACGCCCGGGGGTTCTAACTCCGGCCAGAAATGCATGGGGAACGGGAGAAAATCGCTGCTTCCTGATTATTTTGGGGATCTATGGAACGACAATAGTTTTTGACATAATAAGGGAATAGTTTACAATAATTTGCGCTAGGTTGTGCACCATGAAATAACTTACTTTTTTTAAAAAAATTGCCTGAGCAGCATCATGCAGCAGACGATGTGGCGACGTCACACCGTTCGCGTGACCCGCTCCGGCCAACCCCCAAAAAGCCCATCTCCGCTGCGCAAAACAATCGTCTGCTTCAAACGCCATTGCTTTGAAAATTGCCTTCGCAAAATTTTCAAACGCATCCAATATTATTAAAACTTTGATAAAGTGTTTATTGCTTTACCAACTTCACGACAGACTAATTTCGAAAAGTGAGAACGTTGCTTTTATTTTTTAATCAGCCGTGTTGAGTCGATCTCCATGTATTCTCCCATAGGGCGGGCCGTAGTGATGCAAAACTATCGATAAATCGACTATCGATACTATCGATAGTTTTGGAAAAACTATCGATAGTGCCCCAGAACTATCGATAGTCGACTATCGATAGTACTATCGATAGTTTTTCGATAGTCGACTATCGATAGTCGACCGATAGCTTTTCGATAGTCGACTATCGATAGTACTATCGATAGTTTTTCGATAGTTGACTATCGATAGTACTATCGATAGGTTTCCGATAGTAGGCTATCGATAGTACTATCGATAGTTTTTAGATAGTCGACTATCAATATTTTTTTTTACTACCGATAGTCAAATGTTTTGCGGCTATGGAGACTATCGATAGTACTATTGATAGTTTTGCACCACTACTAGAGCGAACACAGTTGCCACACCGCCACTCGCCTGACCTTCTTCCTCTTTTCACCCAAACTCCCGTCTTTGTCATCACTGAAAGCTGAACCAAAGTTGGGATGGTAAGCTCTTGGGCTAGTTGGTGTCCGATTTGAAAAAAAAAAGCAAGAAAAAGAAAAAAAGGAAGCGACGCAAACTGCTAGTGTCGGAAAACTACCGATAGTAAACTGTCGACAGTACTATCGATAGGTTTACGATTGTCGACTATCAATAGTTTTCCGATAGTCGATTAACGATATTTTTCCGATAGTCGACTATCGATAGTACTATCAATAGTCGACTATCGATAGTACTATCGATAGTTTTTCGATAGTTGACTATCGATAGTACTATCGATAGTTTTTCGATAGTCGACTATCGATAGTTTTTCGATAGTTTTCGATAGTCGACTATCGATAGTTTTTCGATAGTCGACTATCGATAGTACTATCGATAGTTTTTCGATAGTCGACTATCGATAGTACTATCGACAGTTTTTTTCACTATCGATAGTCAGATTTCTGGCAACTATCGATACTATCGATAGTACTATCGATAGTTTTGCACCACTAGCGGACCGCCTCCTGGAACCCTGAGTACCACGTGACTCGCGCCGAGCTGCTCGCAGCTGGCGCCGCCGCCGCCGCCGCCGCTCGAAGGAAGTAGACGTAAACCCAACCCGCTCGTCGCCGCCGCCGCCGCCGCAGGGAGCGAATCCGCTACCGCAGCAGTGGATTTCTTCTCAGGTGTAAATGTACCATTAGAGCTGCACTCTAAAAAATGCCCGAATGACTTTACAGAAGGTAAAGTGTAACAAAAATTAGTTTGATTACCAAAAAAAAAAAGTTGATTTTATTACATCAGTGATTAGGTAAGTGGAAAGTTAGTCTGGCTTACAAGTGGTCTCTGTTGTCTCCATTATAGAGGGGCAATTTTCAAAAGCCATCGAGCAACATTGACAGTCGCCATTCCATGGGCACAGAACATGTGATTGGGTCAGGGTCCTCGCTGAACGTTGACGGAGCTTTTGATTTTTACATGAACCGAGCCGAGTTTACACCGAACGTTGACCCAGTCATCGTGTTCAATGGAAGCTCGGGGTACGTGCCTTAACACGACTGCGGACCCGTGGTCTTTGACGTGCATCATAAATTGCGGTGCAGGTATCTGTTATAGGAATGTATGCCGGTACAGCTGCTTGCTGTTCATGTAGACATCGACAGGGATGTGTATCGGTGTTTAGTTTAAGCTCCTCGCGCTCTCGAGCTCCTTTGTGTTAACTTGCTTTGCTGCCGAACTTTCATGATTTTTAGGCTTCCAGGTTTTTTTTAGGAATTTATCTCATACAGCATGCAACTACTAGCAGAAACAACAAAAAAATGTAATTTGTGCTGAAAATTCAGTGGCAAAAAATAACAACAACAAAAAAGTTGGAGCTCCAATCCACGCTGTGAAGGTGGTTGGCCAGCGAAGCTGTGGTACCACCCAGGCATGTAGTCCGGGGGTGGGGGGGGCAGGGCAGGCAAGGCGGGGCGGGGCGGGGTGGGGTTATGGGGCCTGGGCCCACCCCCCCCCCCAAAATGTTCCATTTTGCTGGGGCCTGCTCTCTCCCCTTCCCCTCATACAGCACTTTGTCATGGGTGGCCCCCCCTTCCCCCCCCCCCCCCCTTCCAAACAAAATCCTAGCTACGTGCCTGGTATCACCTGCAATGATTGCCCACTGCATTATAGGCCCTTTTTATGGCAAATGCCACCAGGTGGTGCTTCAGCCTTTCACGTTCCAGAGAACTTCCGGTTTAGAAAAGGAATGAACAAAGCCTTAACACCGCTGCTTGAAATTTAGGTAAAATGATTAACCACCGATTCTCCAGGTGAATGCCGGAAAAACTAAGGAGTGCAAATCTATTAAAATGTTTCGAGTATTCTTGTAAACCAACTTGCCTCCTCCAAGATGTAATATTGTACAGCCGAAGGCCCTCATTAGATCTCCAACTTTGTTGTCTGTGTAGCATTTATGCTTTCCAGCGTCGTGACGTAAGCAAGCTCAACAGGCTCGCAAAGGCGGTGCGATCGGAAGTTGCTTGGGACGCAAGTGGCAGTTGATGTTTGTAAACAGCAAAAGGCTCCATACCAAATGATTAACAGAAGAAAGCTAAATGCACTGTACCAAAACTTTATTATATATGAAAGACTTCATACGCTTCCATTGCTGCAGCAGCTTATGCAACTGCAATCTTTACTGAGAAATGCTACTTTTTTAGCATTGTTAGCGGGGGTAGTGACCTCACTCCCCACTTTGTAGTCTGCCTTTGCCGCGGCAGCTTATGGAACCATAGTTTTTACCGAGAAACGCATGTGGGAAGCGCTACAAGCTTATCATCGTTCGTGCACGCCTTATCTATCACGCGGTTTTGACACTTATTTTTTGCAGTTTTCTTATCGAAACAAGTGTCAAAACTACAGGATAGATGATAAGGCACGCGCAATGGTTTTCCGCCGACTATTCTGTTCACTGCTGTTCTGTTGACGGACACAAAAAAACCTGACCAACGAGTCATATACAGCTGCGCTGTAAAACAAAAAACGATAAAGCATCTGCAGACAACCACAGGTGAGCATGCACGTCATGCGCGCATTGACCGAGAACCTCTGACCCATCAGATATTCCTCGTAGCGCGTTGGCAGGTGGCAGTGAAGCGGACGCATTGGTTCGGATTGGTAATGCTTTACGCCAGAGCAATGGTGCAGAGCAGTGAAGCTTGATCCGAGAAGCTGGAGCATTGCTGAAGGCATTATTCATAATTTTTAAATATTGAAAACCTTTAATACTTTGGACAGGAAAAGTGTGCTACGAATCGTATCGAATAGCAAACACTATATGCGAATTATTCCAAGTTTTGAATATTGGCACATCTCTACTTATGAGTTATAAATGGCTTGTAAAGCAAGGCATAATCAGTTTTGATTTAAAGGTTGGTCAGTGTTGAATGGGACCACTCTGCTACACGTTGTGTAATCTACTCTTGAAAGGAAAACTGGTATAGGACATCACAAAAATAAAAAATGGCAAGGTTGATTGTAGGATGAGTGTGCTATGGTACAAGTGCTCTGGTACAAGCAGACATTCAGATTTTGTTGCATCAGACCTTGCGATGACAATATTTAAACAGTAAGCTAGAGTCCGTGATTGGATTTTAATGTGCCACATTGATTATAACGGTGATTGTTTTTCATAGATTTAGAATCCCATATGGGCGAGAAAATAAGAATTTGACTCAAAACCAGTGATATAGCCAGGAATGTTTTTCGAGGGAAGGAGGGGGGGGGGGCCTTTGAGGTGGTTGGGTTATCTAGGACTTGGGGGCAGAGGGGGGCTGGGGGGGGGGGGGTGTGAAAACACATGTGTATATATTATAGGGTTGGCTGGATTCCGGGGGGGGGGGGTTCTGGAGCTTGAAAGCCTCGCCCATGGCTATGCCACTGTTCAAAACCATGGTTGTCTGCCCAATAAATGACAAAAACAGGTTGACCCACTTTTGATGAAACCCTCTGAATTTACTTCTCCGTAGAGAATTCACAGATCCAGTCATTGAAATCTATAGGAGCCTAGCAATTAGCTGCTTGTTGGAAGGTGCACACTGGGCCAATGGTATTTTGCATCTACAATATTTTTTTGTTTTTTGTTTTGAAGCCATTTAGTGTTTTTAGGGAAAGGCTAGAACAACTTGCGGAGAGTCCAGATCTGTCGTAAAATGGTGCTGCTTTACAGGTGGGGGCTTTGATGTTACGATTATTGCGATGTAACATCTTTTTTTATATATTTTCCTTTTGGGAACTTGTAGGGAGCTCATGGCTTCATCACTCAACATCCCTGGGCCAAGGAAGTGGCTGCCTTCGTCAACTTGGAAGCGTGTGGGGCTGGTGGAAAGGAACTGCTCTTTCAAGCCAGTGAGGGACCCAGATTGTTCGTCCTTTGTCCCCAGTGTCCCTTTAGGGTCAATTGTAGCAACAATGAGAAGACTTCGTCCTCTACTTCGGCGTACCTAATACCACTGGGGGGGGGGGGGGGGGGGGGGGAGAAGAGGGATTACGAAGGAACCTGTTTCGTTTGTTGTTAAAGAGTGGAATCTTTTCTATCTAATTTCTGAAAAACAAAGTTTCAATTGTCTACCTGCTGAAAAAAAAAAAGAAGAACTGAAAACTAAAAACAAAGTTTCCTGTCTACTCGCTGGAAAACGAAAAATTTCCCACCTGCCTGCTAAAGCACAGAAGGATGCCCAGCTAAATGCTGAAAAACGAAAAGTTTCTTGTCTGCTTGTTGAAAAACGGAAAATTTACCATCTACCCGTCAAACGGAGAGTTTTTCGTCTTCCTGCTCAACGAACATAAATATTTTTGTTTGCCTGCTGAATATAAATATTTTCTCTTCATAACTAGCATGTATGAAGACAAACTGATACCTAAAGAGAGAGAGAGAAAATAAATGTTGGTCTTGGAGAGATTGACTCCGGTACCTTAAGCTTTCATGCCTTCATTTGATGAGGCCAAAGTCGGGAGTCGGTGATGCCGCATCGAGCTTGAGTATTGACAGTGGTGATGTTTTGCAGGCAATAGTCACCCATGGCTGGTGCGATCATATGTGGAGGGGGCGGTGCGGCCATTCGCTTCCATCATCGCGGAGGAGGTATTTCAGAGTGGGCTGATTCCATCAGACACGGACTTCCGGATATTCCGGGATTTCGGGGGTTTGCCAGGTCAGTTAATTTATTTATTTATTGATCCTTGAGTTTAAGATGTTTACCAACAGCTAAATGCCTTACCGGTGGTACACCATAATGCATTGAAAATGAAACAAGCAATGCGAACACTGCAATAAAGAAAGTACAAAGACATCATTGAAATGCAGATGTTCTATGACATTTCTGCTACTACCCCATTTTTAAAGTTGCTGAAACTCATAAAGACACCTTTTGCAGCTGACGTACAAGTCCACCATTCTTGTGAGAGTGAGAGGTTCAAATGTCTAGGAAGATAAAAAGAAGTTTATATCTCAAGAAGCAAGATGGTACACAAATGCTCATATCTGTTAGCAACCCTGGGCAAGCTACTCCGCCATCCAATAGTTTGTGCAAAAAAATGACAAATTCCTATAATCTCTCTTCACTGCAAGTGCAGTCATTTGCAATTTACATAATGGACAGTTAAAATTGTAATGAGATTTCTTACCGAGGTATTGGTCGTAAACCAAACAAATAACGAGTCTCTGCACTCCTTCTAGACAAAGTTAAGATTGCCGGGGCAGTCACTGGGACTCATTTTGAAGCTAGGGGTGCTTTTCTAAAGTGCAAATGGCTTGCCGATGGTGTTCAAGAGACATTGTCATGTCCATTACGACTCTGTTTTATTTTGATATGGAACCTCTCACTGCTATCCAAGATTGTGTAAGAATTGGAAGACTGTTAGAACTTGTGGTAAAAAAAAAAGGATGATGTTATAATTATAGTTTTAAAATCTTGATGAAGCAATTACACAGGATGCTTGTATGTTACTTTATATGCTGATTTAGTGTCGTTTGTTCTCGAAATTGTAGTCATGTGCAAATAGTGCATCTTGGGTTTTCGGAGCAAAGTGTGGTTTTGGCGGAATATTTTTTACCGTATTTTCCGGGCTATAGTCCGCGGACTATACCTGTTTAAAAGTTTAAATTTCTGGCTGTGCGGACTATCTACGCGTGCAGACTATACAGGAATTATGTTTTTCAAGATTGTTTATTATGACGAGACGTGACGAATTTTGTGCACGAAAATGTATGTTAATGATGATTTATGCACATTATAGGCTTTATTGTGAGCTAAAAAGCAGACATTTGTAAACGTGTGCCGTCTATGAGAAGATTTTCGTGTCGACTAAGCACCAGGTGCGGGCTATGCGCCGGGTGCGGGCTATCTAAGCAAAATCTTTGATTTTTTACCCCAAATTTTCCCCTGCAGACTATACACCGGGTGCGGACTATAGTCCAGAAAATACGGTAATTGAATATCGAATAGTTTCTCCAAGCCTTTCACTACTGCTGCACCATGCTTAAACGAAGATTCAGTTAAACTCGTGAAGTTTGGTCTGGAGCTTCCACTTGTCCATTTGTAAGCTAATTTTTATCTAACTATATTTATGGACTGTGACTTCAGAAAGTTCCGACACCTTGGAATGGCAAGTAAATGGCAGATTTGACATAAAATTAAACCTGAAAAATGCTTAGCTATATATCTAATTCTGTGGATTTACAAGTCCTGCTATATGCAAACATTATTTCTTCAATCTCGAATTTGAAAAAAAGAAAAAGAATCACAAATATGAACTCAGGTTGCCAGGGCATCTTGCATTTTAGCCTCAGTTTAATATTGAAAAATATTTCTGCAATGTACAGATGAACATTCCCATAGTTTCAGTTTATATTTAAATACACCGAGTGCGCGCTCGCACCATCCCGCTTTGAAAGTGTGCTTTTCTCCCAAGTACGCCATTGCGATATTTAAACTTTTCCAAATATTGATCACGGCGAGTTACCTTGTTGAGTGCGCTTTGTACTGAACACCGGCGCACTGTGGAGAAGCAACATCTGCATAGTTTGCTTCTGCGGGTGTTGCTTCCACGCAGTGCAACCACGCTTAGTAGTAACCCAGGCAAAAATTTGTAACTGGGACCAGTTGGCACCTCAACTGGTTTCAACTGGGAGTCTGGGACTAACTGGTACCAACTGGGACCAATAGGAGTCCAACTGGGACCAGCTGAGGGGTCAACTGGTTTGAACCATTCCCAGTTGGGAGTCAACTGGTTTGACTTCCAGTTGGGAATGGAGTGAACTGGGACCAGTTAGGAACGTAACTGGTTGGAGCGATTCCCAGTCGGACTTCAAATGCCTTTCCCGTTCCCAGTTCAGATGGGGCAACAATTTTGACAAGTTGGGGTTGCATTGGCCTTTGCTAATTAAGAAAACTAAAAACACTTACATTTTTAGATTTTTACAAATAGGAAAATGTTTAATTACTGGGTACATTTATATATTTATAAAAATAATATAAAAGTTTTAATTAACAGAATATTTTTTTTAATTGGAAAATATAATTAGAGACAAAATGTGTTCACCTAAATGAACATTTAGTGCATCATTAAAATATATTAAAACATTTATTTAAACACCTACAGTATTTTTTTTCTTTTAATAAATAAATTTATCTTTTGGCCAATCAGAGCTAGTCAGCCGCCGTGGCTCGCGGGTCCGGATTAGTGGTACGCGCTGTCGACAGATAGCGCTGCCTATGCTGACGCCGCATGACGCCGGAGTCGGATGGACGCGGTAGGCGGTAGAGAAGGGTCGCCATCGTCGAAGTTGGCGTCGTTATGAAAATGTCAAAACTACAGCTGCGCTTCTTTGGACCTAACTGCACACACACCATGGTGGCGGCGGTGAACTTCAGGGATGGAAAGATGCACTTCAGCGATCGGAGGGCACCCAGGAAAGACCGAACGGAAGAAAACGCCGCGGAGAGCACAATGGCAAAAATGGCGGGAGGTCTACCTCGAAAATGTTCGACTGTTGTGACAGAGATTGCAAGGTGGGAGCGCTACCGCATCCTATCAGGACTTCACCTGCGCAACGCGGGATCACGGGTGAGCACCTTTCTTTTTGCGATGGGGAGAGAAGCTGAGGACGTCTTCACTAACAGACGCCAGCGGCTGATCTTCCTTCATCTCACGAATACTACGTACTCCTGAAAAAGCGATTCAACCGTGGCAAACAAGTGGCTAAACTCGGAGCGTGTACATCACCGAATCTATTATTTAGTTTCATTCTTCAAGTTTTTGACAATAAAGTCTTATCAACCTTCCATTTTGTGCCGTGTTTCATTGTTGCTGAAGTTGGTACCAGCGGTAACTGGGACCAACTCCAACTGGGACCAGTTGCAACTGGGAATTGTTCCATAAACCAGTTGCAACTGGGACCAATTGGTCCCAGTTGAAAATTTTCGCCTGGGAAGCCCACTCAACGGGTCTAACCCGCTGCAATCCACACTTAAAAGAATACGACTATCGCCGAATATCTCAAAGCGAATATCGAATAGTGTATTATTCTAAACTACTATTTGAAATATTGAATATTCGCAATGCTCTACCAAATTTAACGCAATACTGTTATTCTTTAGTTTGACCAACACCAATGGCATCTGAAAGGCACAACCTTTTATGGTTACAGCTTGAGAGTGTTGCCTTTTTGGTGTGTCTCATCTGGTGGTGTTTCTCTCTCTTGGTTTACCACCAGGTCTTGACTTCGCATTTGCCAAGAACGGCCATGTCTATCACACGAAGTACGACAACCTTGATTATGTGCCTGGTGGATCCATTCAGCATGCTGGTGAGCACCGTGTTGTTTGCACAGAAAGTAGCATAGGCTATTCTGATCCCTCAGCTATATGCTAGTGTTAACAACCTCTTTCATTTACCATCATCGCCAGCCACATAGTTCACATATCCAAATGAGAGACAGAAAACAAGCAAGACCTTACAACCTGGAATGAGTAAAAAAATATGTAAACATGTAAGAGGCGAAACAAGGATGAGTAACAGAAATTACAGTGGTTTAAAATGTTGCATAGATTCTGTTCAGATTTTACAAGCAAACACTTCTGGAATCAAAACCCTCCAAATGAAATACTCTATTTGTCAAATGTGTTGAAATAATTCTATAAAGAAAGCTGTTGGCAGTTTGAGCAGAACTAAATATTGCCCCGTTATTTCTTGTTATGATTATCAACAATCTTCAGCGAGATTTATCATCAGTGTACATGAGAGATTTGTAACTACCAAGTGAAATTGTTTTTTTTTGACAAATCAGGAGACAATATCCTGGGGCTCCTGCTCAAGATCCTGGAAGCTCCTGAGCTGGAGCTCGGCGGGGTGCAGTCCATGGACGGGACGCACCAGGACAGCAGAGACGGAATGGTCTACTTTGACTTCCTGGGCTTCTTCATGGTCACCTACACCTACTCGGTGGGCAACTTGCTGGTCAAGCTGGTGGTCCTGGTCTCTCTGGTCTCTATGGCGTGGCGCATAAAGTCCTCCTCCGGTAAGTGTGCCCGAGCTAACTCGAATCGGTCGTCCCCTTTTTACGGCGATAGCCATTATAAATGGCTTGCACGTGACGTCATTCAAAAAGCGCTCTGATGACCACCAGAGAAGAAGGGAAGAGGGAGCTTCCCTCTTATCAGGATCCTCTTTTGTGCCTCCCGGATTTACACAGACGTTGCTATTCTCCTCCCAGAAGATTTTAGAAGATTATCCCGTCACTCAAAATTCTTCAAAAGCAGCTTCCCTCTCCTCCTCTTACATGGTGGTCAAAAATATGCGATGTGATGTCAGTGCATCGCATATTGTGTGATGTGATGTATTAGTGGGGTTTTGCAGTGGACCCCCAGGTGTGATTTGGGCAGTGTCGTAGCCGTGGAAATGTTCTTGCTATATTTAGCACAGAGATTTTACCTTAAGGTAAAGAGGAACGAGCAAGGGATGGTGGCTGCAAAGCAAGGTTGCCGGGCCCAGCCGCGACAGGATGCCAATGGCCATTGCACAGTGACCAAATGGCAGTTTAAGTGCCAGTTAACGAACAATCCGTCCATTCTGGTGTGGGATGCGCGCTACAGATTGTGCTTTCAGGCGGACATGAGAAAAGGCGTTCTCGGTGTAGTGCATTTAGTAAGAACGCTTTTGAGAAATGCCATAGAGACGGACACTTTTGTTTCCCTTTCATTATACACAAGCTGAGCAGATGGTCCAAACAGTCAGTCTTTGCGGAGACAAAGGTACAAAATAAAATTTATTGTATGGATTTGGTGGGAAGTTAATCTGGCTTTTAATGTGTTACCACTTTGGAGAGCAATTCAGCCAGCATAGTGTTACTGTCCTGTCTGAATTGGCGTTTCTGACGTGCGCACTAGCATGGATATTTCATAAAATACACGTTGGTACAACACCCATTTTCTGTCGAACCTGGTTGGAATGTTAATTGATGTGGAAGGGGCTGCAGGTCATAGGAGAATTGCAATTGTCTTGTATGTATATTTAGACAGTTGGAAGTTTGTAAAACCCAGTGGGCGTCTGCTGTCTCCACTGCAGATGAAAAATTTAGTCAGTGCAGTAGCACCGCTAGTAGCCTCGGGTCTTTAATGTGCGTCACGCAGGAGTGATACACGACCGTAGGCCGGTACAACGTTTATCCAGGTCGAAACGGGCAGAAGTGGGGACTGAACCTGGGATATCCCTGGGTTCTGCAGTGCGAGCTTTCACTCCACATACTCTCAGCTGCAGTATGTCAACACACTTGGCTAGTGATCCCTTGGTCATAGGAGAGCGAATGTGCATGCTGAACAGGATGAAAAAGCAGCACTCAAAGCGACAGGACAAACGGAAGGAGGACAAACACATGCTGACTTAGGGTCTTTTTGCTTTCTTTTTCTTTCTATATTTCTTTCTGCACGGTGCCTTCTATGTTTGTATTCCTTTGTCTCACTGCCTGGTTCCTCTTCTTTCTCTTTCTTTAATGTATCCCATTTGGGAGTCAGCATGTGTTTGTCCTTTGTTCCTTCCTTCTTAACTGTCTTTTTAAGCACTTTTTCATCATGTTCAATGATTACCAATTAGCCTTACTTTCCACCTAGCGAATGTGTGTTGTCACAACTCTACGGCTCCTTTCGACTAGTTCATCGTGCCTTTCCGTACCATTTCCCCCCTTGCCAGCGGGACGTCATCTCTATCACCGTGAGCTGGCGCTCCAGGTGTGGGGCCGGGTGCTGGCGCTGGTGGTGATCCTGTCCAGCTGGGGGCTGGGCATGCTGGCCTCTGCGCTGGTGGCTCACCTGCTCACCCTGCTGGGCAGTACCATGGCCTGGTATGCCACGCCCTACCTGGTGGTGGGGCTCTACTACTCTACCACCGTGGCCACGTTGATCAGCGTACACTGGGGCATTGCGACGCTGCGACGCAGGAGTAAGGCGGGAATGGTGAGTGGGGAACGATCTGTGGTCGAACTCTCGTAAAGTACCGAGCAGGAGCACATCCAAGAAACTAAGGTAAATTGGTAAAAAAAAATAAAAAAACAACCGCATCTCCACGTGGTGAATGATGTTGATTGGGGCGAAGATCTGGTGGTGCTTGTCTGCGTAGGCGCTGAGCCGCAGCATGCCGAGCCTTTCGCTTGTTTTCATCCATGTCACGCTGCGGTCAAATGCTTAAATGCGTATATAACCACGTTCCATACCACACATTCTCTTTCTGACATGGATGAAAACGAACGGAAAACTTGGCATGCTGCGGCTCACCGTCTACGCAGACAAGCACCACCAGAGCTTCGCCCAATCAACATCATTCACCACGTGGAGATGCGGTTTTTTTTTTTTTTTTCCCTACACAAGCACGGGAGCACGTGCTCACATGCTCGTGAGTACGAGCACCTGATGCCGGACATCGGACGGACATATGGACATGGCTAGCTTCTAAGGAGCTTCGCCCCTAAAAAATGGGAATGGGCACTTGTTTGGCTAAAGAGCAAAAAAACAGAAAAGGCACAAATGGCAAGTTGGACTCTTGTTTGATCCAGCCGAACAATATGCAAGAGATGCCTTCTTATAGTTTCGGTAACTCGCATCCTGCCATGTTAATGAACAGAGCCTGCCAGCTGCGTACGCCTGTGATCAAGGTCTGCACTTTAACTTCCCTACAGAACACACATACTACAGCCAATCATCGCCTTCCACTTAAAAAGATGTAGTGATCGAGTGACAAGGTCAAGAAATTAATTTTCCGGACAAATACAATCCAGTACCACTCTAGCATGAGCACGTCATATTTGTCCCACAAGAAAAAGTGCTTTTTCTGTCGATCGCGGCGATTGACAGTCTGCATGCTCTGCGTGTAAAGTGGACATGCAAGTACTGTACTGATAATGAATTGTGCATCTATTACTTGAAAAATTTATAGTTTTCATGGCACAGAGCAGAAAAAATGGAGAAAAACTGAAACCAAACATTGAATCGCCTTGCAGATACATGTGCCGAATGGCACCTGCCGTCCTCTCTGGGATGCGAGTACGAGAAGCTTTCCGCCGTTTCGTGCAGGGAGCGAAGATCATAGGGGACCCGACTGAGCACGAGGACGACTGGTCGGTTCTGGAACGCTACCTGGACGCCACTCAGCTCCTCTGGATGGTCGTCTCGTGCTGGCTCATGTCGACGGGTGTCCAGAGCTGCTACCTCAACATCTCCTGGCTGGCCATCACGGGCGTCGCCATGTCCGTGCTCTCGCGCTGGGTCCTCAACTTCGGCAGGAGAGGTGGGTCTGCCACTGCGCCTGTGCTCGGCCCTCTGCACGTCCGGCACTGCATGAATAAAAAAAATATATTAGATGGCAAGAAGTATTATATACTTACGGACAAGTATCTGCATTATGCAGCCGCAGCAATATAATCGATCGATTCGTGTTTACTGTGCTCCCCGAACAGCAGGCAGGCCTCAGGAGGAATGCACATACTAAAAGCAAAAGACGAAAAAAAAGAAATGGGAGCCATTTTACTTTGAAGGTGGATGACCAGTGAAGCTGTTTAGCACACGACACAGACGTGACACAGAATTTTGAACAAAGGTACGAACATATTTATCGTCTTGATCGGTGGTCATTGTGGCGAAAGGTACGCACACACGTGCCGCCCACCGCCGCCGCTGACATTCTCATTGCTTTCCCACCGTTGCTCTTCGTAGGCGCGTTCCTCTTTGGGAGTCCGGACTATGCACGGCCTCCCCATTACGAGAGAAGAGAAGTAAAATTGAAAATGGAGAACAGCAACTTGTCTTTCTGGTTTTTTTATATACATTCGCGTGGACGACTACCGCCACCCCGAGAAGCCGGGGGAAACTAGACACGTGCGACGGGATCGCCACTCGGCGGAAAGTAGACACGCGCGACGAGACCGGCACCCCCAGAGAGTGCAAGGAAAGGAAACTAGGCTTGCAAGCATCTGGAACTACGGCTAATTGAGGGCGGTATGAGCGTAGAGTTATTGGTCACGCACGCGAAAATTGCTAAATTACCCAAGCTTGAAAGAATGCAGGGAATGGCGTTCTGTGCCAAATGCACACGCCTTCCTCATATAAAAGATGTGATGTAAATAATCAAAATAAAGCGTTGACGAACGCACCTGCAAGATGCCATTTGTTTTAGGCTTTTGCTTTTTAACAGTTACTGTTGCAGACGCCGACACGTGCTGCGCATGGGTGCGGTATGGCGTGTGGATGCGATGCGAGCGTAGAGTTTTTGGTCACGCACACGAAAAATCCACGGAACCTTAGCCCTAAACAGCTTTGCTGTAAAATTACTAGTAGCCAGAAATAATTTGTGTAATACACCCCTCTTGGAGCTCCTCAGAATTCCGAATGAAGGGTAAGCCCTGTCAGAATGATCTAACCTGTCATACTTGTGCTACATGTGTGTCAATGGAGGGCCAGGTTCTAAGTCTGAAGGGTAAAAAGGGTGCATGTGCACTTGCACATCTTGAGCGCTCATCAAACCTGTGCCCGCACACTCCTCACATATTTTTATTCTTTTTTATTTATTTTTATTGTTATCCCGAAGGCCGGTACAGAGCATGTGAAATGAGTGCAAAAATGGCACCACCCACAAGACAATCGGGAAATGGCGATACCCTAAGCATAGCCGTTATTTAGTGGCTCTATCGTATGGCGTGAGCCCAGTCTGCCGCAAGATCGGGTGCCTTGTTTGATGCCTCTACAGATTGAGGAGGATTAACTATAAAAATGGTGCCGAAATCTCTGCTGTCACTACGCAGATTCTCGACAAAATGCGTTAGCATGTAGCGCAGGGGTTCCGACTCAGTGGAGGATGAGAGTTACAACCTTGCTATGATCTGCATACTGTTGCGTTTGAAGGGCCAGTCTGTTCTCCTGGGCGTTGGCGGTTTCAGATGCAGCCACCACAGCCTCCCTCGATCGCCGCCTACGATCCCCGCATGCTGTTGCCTTCAAGGAGCCAGCTAGTCTCTTTCCTCACGGATGTCGGCGATTCTGCAGAAACCGCGTCGTCGAAGTGCCTTGGTTTTAGATTGTCGCGTACCGTGCGTGTCGCGACGGCCGCTCGATCCCCCCTCTCCCGCTTCCGCGGCATGCCGTTGGAAGCATGCCAGGAGACTTTTTCCCTCTTGTAAGAAAGAAAGTGGACGTAACGAGCGAAAGAGCGCAGCAGGAACTGTGCCACGGCCTAGCAAAATTAGTCTGGTCCAGTCCAAACCACGACCGTCCAAACAGAAGATAGGTTCATGCAGCAGGGCAATAAATGCTCACGCATTTGATAGCTGCCGCCGAAAAAAATTGGGGTTCTCCTTGCTGTGTGCGTGAGCTGTAAACTGCTTGCTCAACGATTTGGAAGCTGCGAAATGGTGGTGGAAAAGGTGTATACAAAGTGTCTGCCCATCTTTTGGTTTACAGTTTACTGTAAAGTAAACCAGTTTATTTGCTTACACAGGACAACATGGCAGACTGCTGGCAGTGGTGCTTGGCTCCCACGTCCTGCCCCTACTCATGGCCGTCTACTTCTGCATCAACCTGCACATGGCCATCATGCCCATCATGGGCCGTGTGGGCACGCTCGACAACCCCGAGGTGTCGGTGGCTGTCATTTCCGGTTTCCTGGCCATTGCCATCACCTCCTTCATGGTGAGATCGAGCTCACCGAAATCCCTCAATATATAAGGGCTAGCCCAAAATCAAAATCGGTGTGTTTGCTCCCATTTTGTCACATATATAATTTGAGTTGTTTGCCAGTCACCCTTGTTCGTGAGACGATGAACGATGTCATGTGAGCCGACAAGCCATCCTAACATATAGTGTGCAGGAGACATAATCTAAGTGCGTGATGAGTGGTACTTGGATTTTTCTCAGATTAATAAAAAAAATAGAATTAAAACAATTGTTGTAGTGGAACGTGGGCATCTGTGGTTAAAATTGCCATAAAATATCGAGCAGGCGGCCACGCGAAAACGACGGATTCCTGTGTGGACGAGCGGGACTGGTCAGCCGCTCGTTCATTCCCATGGGCGAGCGGCTGGCCAGTCCCGCTCGTCCATGCGGGAACCCATCGTTTGCGAGTGGCGGACGAGCGCTGTCCGTCGTTTGACCATGTTCAGCAAGGTCCGGCACCGCCATCTGTCATTCTGTGCCAACACTGTGTCGGGATCTTTTATCACTTTTTTTAATACGCAAATTGGCCTTGATGAATGTACTTTTGGGTTTTTTAGGATGCTTAGAGCTTTTAGATTGATCTATGACTATAAAATGACTATCTCATAAAGCACTTTAGTGCCCCTTTAAGCTTGATATAACTCTTCCTTGCTTGATGATTTTTTTTATTTAAATAACAATAAATGCACATAGAAATCATCATCATATGCAGAAACGGTAAATATAAACACAATTTGGAAATCATTTTTTGTGGGATTTAAATTATCTTTTAAATCTGGCATGCTTTAAATCATCTTAATTTTTATTCTCCACCCTGCTACCAATATTCATGAAGCATGGGCACCCTAATAAAGACAGACTACAACCTCCTCAGTACACGAACTCTCACTTCTTTGTTATGGGTGGTCTTTGGTAGCTCTTGTATGAGAAGGTTGTCCCTCTCTGGCATCAATGAAAGCCTTTTTTTCCCTCTATTTCTGCTCATCAGCGGGAGGGGAAAGAAGCCTCGTGTATAGAATAGACTGACCCTAACAGCGCACATGATCCCTTAGCTGAATGTCCCTAAAACGTCATATGTCCTTGTGCAGCCATTGGACCAAATGTGTTACCTGGAGCCCAGGCGAAAATTTTCAACTGGGACCAATTAGTCCCAGTTGCAACTGGTCCCAGTTGGAGTTGTCCAACTGGTTCCAGTGGAGTTGGTCCCAGCTGGAATTGGTCCCAGTTACAACTGGTCCCAGTTTGAGTTGGTCCCAGTTACCGCTGGTACCAACTCCAACAACAGTGAAACACGGCACAAAATGGAAGGCTGAGAAGACTTTATTGTCAAAAACTTGAAGAATGAAACTAAATAATAGGTTCGGTGACGTATACGCTGCGGGTTTAGCCACTTGCTTGGGACGGTTGAATCGCTTTTTCAGAGGTAGTATTCGTGAGATGAAGGAAGATCGGCCGCTGGCGTCTGTTAGTGAATACGTTCTCAGCTTCTCTCCCCACCGCGTGAAGAAAGGTGCTCACCCGTGATCCTGCGTTGTGCAGGTGAAGTCCTGATAGGATGCGGTAGCGCTCCCACCTTGCAATCTCTGTCACAACAGTCGAACATTTTCGAGGTAGACCTCCCGCCGTTTTCGCCATTGTGCACTCCGCAACGTTTTCTTCCGTCCGGCCTATGTGCGTCCGGTCTTTCCTGGGTGCTCTCCGATTGCTGAACTGCATCTTTCCATCCTTGAAGTTCACCGCCGCCACCATGGTGTGCGTACAGTTAGGTCCAAAGAAGCGCAGCTGTAGTTTTGACATTTTCATAACGACGCCAACTTGGGCAATGGCGACCCTTCTCAACTGCGTCCGTCCGACTCCGGCGTCAGCATAGGCAGCGCCATCTGTCGACAGCGCGTACCACTAATCCGCACCCGCGTGCCACGGAGGCCGGCTAGCTCTAATTGGCCAAAACATAAATTTATTTATTAAAAGAAACAAAATACTGTAGGTGTTTAAATAAATGTTTTAATATATTTTAATGATGCACTAAATGTTCATTTAGGTGAACAAACACATTTTGTCACTAATTATATTTTCCAACTAAAAAATTATTTTGTTAATTAGAAGTTTTATATTATTTTTATAAATATATAAATGTACCCAGTAATTCAAAATTTCCCTATTTATAAATCTAAAAATGTAGGTGTTTTTAGTTTTCTTCATTAGCAAAGGTCAATGCAACCCCAACTTGTCAAAATTGTTGCCCCGTGTGAACTGGGAACGGGAAAGGCATGTGAAGTCCGACTGGGAACCTAACTGGTTCCAGTTCACTCCATTCCCAACTGGGAGTCAAACCAGTTGACTCCCAACTGGGAATAGTTCAAACCAGTTGACCCTTCGGCTGGTCCCAGTTGGACTCCTATTGGTCCCAGTTGATTCCCAGTTGGTACCAGTTAGTCCCAGTTGAAACCAGTTGAGGCGCCAACTGGTCCCAGTTATAAATTTTCGCCTGGGGGGCAACATAAGGACGCAGAAGCATTGTTCAAGACTCGGGAGGACTAAGCAGAGAGTCTATAGGGTGTCTGAAATAACCAGACCCAATCTAAAATGGGCCGTAAAAATTGGTCCCTCCATGTAGCAATCTAAAATTTTCCTCAAAGGTTTATTTTACAGGTTGGTTTTATCTTAAAAACTCACAAAGTGTAGCTCCCTGTCTGTAAAATATGGGGCCAAACAAGTTTCCAGGGTCAACAACGGACGGCTAAGCAAAAGACTGAATTGAGTGGCGGGGGGAGCGTTTGGCGCACGTATTGATAGGTGGCTCTACCTCGAGACTGCTCGCTACGACTGTGGTCTATTCAAATCGACAATGTTTTTGTAATGTACCTTTGGTTCAAAAATAAATGTGGACACCGAGAGCAAAACTTAAAGTAAAAAAAGAAATTAAAAGAATGCGATTGCAAAACGACGGCTTTCTTGCTGTTGACGAATATCGTCTGCATGTTGTCTGCCTTCTTTCGCTGGTCGGCTACACGTTCCCACTCTGCTCCCAATGCCATCTATCAATATGTGCGCCAAACGCGCCGCTCCACTCGATTTGGTTGTCTGCATTGCCGCCGCCACTGACCCTGGTAAGCTTTTTGGCCCTATTTCTTACAGAAAGGGAGCTGGGCTTTGTATAGTTTTAAAAGATAAAACCGATTTGTGAAATACACCTTCGACGAAAATTTTAGATTGCTGTGTGCAGGCGCCAAATTTTACGGCCCTTTCTAGATCGAGCCCGGGTATTTCAGACACCCTATATATTACTCGTTTGTGACAATTGGGGACTAGGCCTGCTATGGTCCAAGTTTCTCACGAAAAGAGGGTGTTGTTTTTAGCTGTTTCCTCTTAATTACGTACGTCTTTTTGACTGTCTCTGCAGGCACCCCTGATTCAAGTGTCGCGAAACGGTCGGCTGCCCGTGATTTTCCTGGCTGCCCTCTCTGCCCTCTCAATCCTGTTTGCCGTCAGCCCCCTGGGATTCCCTTTCTCTGCAGCGCCTGGATCTGCCTGCCCACAGAGGATGCTCATTTTTGTCAGTGCCTCTCATTCGTCGAACTTTTCAAGTCCTGGGTAGTATTGCGATACTTGTATCGCTATAGTGTAACTCTTTACTTTTTTTGGTAACTCTTAGCTGTAACTCTATACATTTTTTTCAACTGCACCAATAACTTAGATACTTTTTTTGAAAAAGTAACTAAAAAGTATTTACATACATACAGATACTTTTCGCGGAAAAAAATACCCTACTTTGTGAACACTACTGCGAGTTCGGCCACGTGCAGAGGTTGGGCTTCACATTAGACGCGACAAAATAAAACAAGAACTCAAAACTTTTTTTATCGGAGCAAAGTGCCAGCGCAGAGGGCAGACGTTTTTCTACTCTTGTTTTTCCTTTTTGATTGCGCAAAGAAAGTGCATTTGGCATTTGCTTCATTTCAACCATTTTGTGCGTGGCTGTCTCGCCCCGTCTTCATCCTTTCCGGCCTCATCGAACACTCGCGATTCTTCAGTCAAGCAACAGAGGCACCTCCTGGAAATATGCGACGCGTAGACTCCTTAAGTCTGGTTCACAAATTTGCGTCGACCGTGTTGCGCTGTGTTGCGTCGTAGGGGATAACACCTTCCTATTGGCTCGTCATAAGGGTCGCCATAGCAACAGCTTGACACAAGCTGTCTTAATGAAGTCAATAACAGTCAAACGCAACCATGCGAATGGGCCTTGACAGTTAGTAACGTCGTACGCCAGCCTCTGTCGTCGGCACAGCAGCAGTAGCGGGGATAGCTTTCTTTGCGAAAATGGGGAGGGGGAGGGGGAATCGGTGGCTGAGTGGACTAGCGCACACTAGCTCGGAGCATGTAGAGCGAAAGCTCGCGCTGCAGAATTGAGAATCTTGAGCTCAATCCCCACCCCTTCCCGTTTCGATCTTGCCCTTTGCCCTTTTTCAGGGGTCGGTGAGCCTGTGACCCACGGTCGAATCTTTTCTTTCACATTGCTTTTCGAAACGACTTTGTGTTGTTTTCGTTCACCCCTTCTTTACCTTGTTCGATACTAATTGTATCTTCCACTTTATTCACTTCCAAATTGTTTATCTTTCCGCTCCCCTCCCTATTATTGTAAATGACCTTTCTGTTCATCGATATCTCCCTTTCCAATCAGCTGAGAAAGAAAAATAAGAGAGCTCTTAAGAGTTGGAGGAATGTAATACAATCAAATCGTGGTCATTGTGTGTTGTCATCAATGTCTTCATAGCTAAATTAAAAAAAAGAAATTAAAGTATCTTGAAAGTAGTTAAGTTACTTTGAGGAAGTAACAGTAACTGTAATGCATTAGTTTTATTTTTAAGTAACTATAACTGTAACTTAAATACATTTTTGACAAACTGTCTGTAACTGTAACTAATTACTTTTGAAAAGTAACTTGGACTGATTTTCCATTTGCATGCAAGATGGTAGTGTGGCGGATGGTTTCACAAAGGATGCGCAGTATGTCATTACAGTTGTTAGTGCTTGGGCCCAAAGTCTTCAGTGAGCAGAATGCTGAATCAGAAGAGAACTGCACCGACATCTTTAGAGCTTTGCAAGAATGAACCGCTGATCAACAATTATGGTTAAAGCGGGCGTGTTGTCATCATGAATACTTAAAATTAGCAACACCATGCATGAAAGATTGTGGTTGTTCATGACTGTCCCCAGGTTGTTATTCCTTCAAGTATTAACAATTGGTAACACATTTTGACGTCGTGTAATATTTCAACGGAAACACAACTGCTCAGCTACTTTTCGTGAGGACCATAACTCTGACTGTAACCACCAGATATGTTTGTGTTAATGTAAGTACTTATAACTTGGTAACATTTAGGCTTGAGTAACCATAAGTAATTTTTACACCTCTGTTCAAAAACACCGTTGTGGTTGATGCCCTTTGAACCCTGTCATGCACGGGGTCTCTTATCGAGTTTTCTTCCCTTTTTTTTTTCCTTCCATAACAGAATGTGGAGCGTACATTTCACAACCAGCAGATGAAGCAAACCCACAGCGACACGGGTATTTGGGTGGTTCCGCTGGACTTCAACGGACCACGGAGCGTGCGGGCTCACATGTCCAAGGGACGTAAGGTGCATCATGTAGACTGCAGTCAGCACGTCTACTGCGGCATGCCTTACTACTTCCCCGTCATCTCCAAACTCAGGTAGGACCTGTATACATAAAAAACGTATGCATACAAAATAGATTCATTCAAAGCATATCTATACGAAACATGTGCACACGAAATGTACGCATACGAAACGTATGCATATTTATGTATTTATTTGTTGGTGGGCACTAGCCCCCAAGGCATTCATACAAAACATACAGTAATCCTGCGTTATAACGAAGTCAACGGGGTGGCGAAAGAATTCAATGTAAGCAGTAATTTGGTAAAAGCGATAGAGCCAAAAAAGGCAGCACTAGCTGCCTTCCAGGTGGACGGGAACACTGAGAAACACCCTGACCGTACATTTAATCAAACAATCCTTGGTTATGAAAAACAAGCGGCAGCATCACCGAATAAAAAAAATAATTACCGTAGAATACCGCGCATTCGCCCATTCCACATTAGGCGCCCGTTACCAAATTTAATTGTTAGATCTGAGAAAATATGCACAGTACATTTATATGTAAAATTGATGACCGGACAAGCGCCGATCCCCCATTTTTTTGCGATTATCTCCAAAGTATGAGTGGGCGCTTGCCCGGTATTTTACGGTAAGTGGAGTTGGGGCCGATAATCTCATCTGGGCATCAGTTCTCCTCGAACTGCTCTAGGCATTGCAACAACACTCTCACCACCGCTGCACTCACTTTGTTTCGAAGCAGCCGTAGGATGTTTCGTGTCTCCGCAGTCGTCGGCGTTTCCCAAAGCGCCTTTCCGACGTCGTTTCGTGTTCACCCTGACCGCATGCACGGTTTACGATCGCAGCATCCGTGGTAAGAGCAACAATGGGAACGTCCGCATTGACATGAGCAAAGGAACGAGTTATCCTTGGTGGCTTTGCCAACATGTTTTCACACACTCCTGTAGAGATCGAAAAAAATCCGACGTGCGCAAAGCAGTTGACGATCTCCCATCTTCGGACCGCAGGCGTGCTTTTTCTTGCATGAGAAACTTCTCAAACCTGCCCAGTATGCCTTGGTTGTTGCGTAAAATGGCGGACAGTGTGGAAGTGCCGACGGCAAAATGTCGAATTATTTGGCGATTTCAGATTTGGGCCGGCCACTTTTCTCAACCTTGCAGTCAGATTTGGGCCGGCCACTTTCCTCAATCTTGCAGATCTAAGCGACTTTCAATAAACACTCCCACTCCTATACGACCCATGTGTGCGTGTAGCGTGTGGTACGCCACAAGCGCACCCGTGCAGGTGCCCATGTGAGGGATGATCTCCCGCGGGCTCTACCATTCCCTTGACCCAATTCCGACAGGAATCGGGCAGCGTCGGCTGCGGGCGCCGTGAGTAGTGTCGGATTGGGACAGTGCTCCTGCTGCTACCCCCCGCATTGGCGCATCGGCATCGGAAGCGGCGCTCTGCCCTCCGTCACCCGTTTGTTTCGTTTACTTGTTTTCTGTTTTCCCAGTTTGCTGCTTACCTCGGTGAAGAAGTGGGAGGAAACGCAAAGATCTCCGTGCACCTCCGTGTAGACTTGCGTGCTTTCGGCACCTCAGCCTTCATTATAAGCGCGGTCGGCCGCTGATACACTTAAATAATCCGGTTAAAAATCCATGCACTTCGGTCGGGACCACGTTGAACTTCGATAAAAGTGATAATTCTAATAAAGCGATTTCATTGTAACTAAGGATTACTTATGTATATATGAAACACATGCACACGAAACAGGCATACAAATATGAATATGAAACATGTGCATGTTAAACATATGCATACAAAACATGTGCACACAAAACATATCTACACAAAACATATATATTCAAAACATGCCCATACGAATCAATACTTTTTTCTCGATTTGGCTGAAGCAGTTAACCACTTTGTATACATCACCAGAACATCATGATGACGAAATCTTGCGGCGCAGAGAGGGCCTTATTTGGTTTTCCACTTCCAGTTTCTGTTTCATAATCCCTAAGGGACCATCGAATTGAAACAGCTCGAAAAAGAAAAGATTGAATTTCAAGTGTCTCAATTTTATAATTACCGTATTTGGCTGTATTATAGGGTGACCCTTTTTTTAACAGAGCATGTATGACTCATTTTTTACAAAGCACTTGAAGATGGGCTCGAAAATGTGAGCTGCACTATGTGAATGTCACACTATCCTAGTGCAGCCTACTTTTTTGGGTTCAGACGTTGTGTGCTCCGTCATAAGTTCACTTCTTCCACGCACGGCAGTGATTGGTTTTAACTTTTAGGTGCCGTGTAGAAAGGTAGAAATGCTGGCTTCATGGCATGAAAAGGTTTACCCTCATTCTGCAAACTGGTAATGTTTGTCCTGTAAGCAGTAGGATCCCCAATATGTGATGTGTGGCCAAGAGTTGCCATGAGCACAGCAAACTGGAACTTGCTATGTTCTTCTTGCATTTGTATCATCACATGGTTTCCTTGTACTGCTAGGCTCTTGCAAAGGTGAAACATTTTCTTGTTTGTTGATGCATAGTTTGATCGTTTTTTTGTTTCGTTCAAACTATTGATTTGAGTTCAATGAAAATAGCTGCACCAACATTCCAGCACAGTTCATATTACATTTCTTATGTGAAGTAAACTAAAGAAAAGGCCCACAGAGACACATAGGAATTTGCCAACAAAGCATTAGGAATGACGACGAAAGGGCAGACATTGGAAACCAACCAGGCATTGCAGGTTTGTGAAAGTACAACTTCAAGGAGATTTCAAGAGATCTAACTTAAGGCAGTTGAATGCATTCCAGAACACATCGAATAACGTTTTCTGTTTATAGTTTTTTTTTTTTTACTGATAAACCCCTGAAAGTAGATCCCAAGCTATATAAGTCTTCCTTAATCGGGGGGGAAAAAAAATCCGGATTAAGAGTTCATTTTGACTAATACCATGCATCATGAAAGAAGCTATCCATGCCTCATGAAAGAAATCTTTATTTGTGTCTTGGTTTTTCTTGACCTGGAACATAGCCTGCGCCGAACCGTCCACGAGGCTGTTGTTCCCTTGAAAGCTGCACCCTTTCTCTTGTTTCTTTTTTCTTAGTAGGATGGGGACATTTCCCAAGCATTCAGGTCACATGTGTGTTTCTTGGAGCTTGTGGAATCCCACCGCTATATATGTTCTGCTTTTTTCAGCATAATCTTTGGCAAATGCTGATTTCCTGCCGACACCAGAAATGGTCCCCCCAAAGCACCGAATCCATGAAAAACACTAAAGTTTAAAAAAAAATCATGTACCTCCAAATTCAGAAAAAATAGCAAAAACGAACCCTAAGAAAACATGGAATCCCGTTTTTATGTCACAAGGAATACTTTAGCTCTCTCCCTGTTGATCTTGTACATTGTTTTGTTATTTGTGTTACTATAGTATTTAAATTTTCTGTCTTTAGGGAGAGCTACTACATTGAAGCCGCCGGTCCCATCTTTCACGCCAAAAGGAAATTCGAGCTCATCTCTCAGAAAATGGTTCTGCCCAACGTGCGGAGGCTCAACCTTAGGCTTTCAGGTAAGCTTTGCCAACAGAAGTACCAGTTTTGTTAGCATGAGCAAAAATAACCGAAAATTGAGGGTTTCGTGCTATTTGCTCTGTGGTCAGTTCATTTAACGGGAAATGCAAAATTTCTTGTCATTCTTAAGAAACTATCACATTTAAAGGGGTACTCCACCGGTTTCTTCATTGTCTCCGATTTGCTTAAAATTTTGCTAAACTGACCAACAAACATTGCTAAAATAGTATCCCAAATATTAGGCCAAAATATTGATTTTTCGCAAAGTTATTGAATTTACAGTTTTGGTCTTCATCATGTTTTTCAAACTGAAAGTCTCTACTGGCAACAACAACAAAGCGACGTCAGTGGAAGGCAGGGGTTAACTTTTTGGACTGCAGAAGTTGTTCCTAACAATATTTGAAGCAGTTTCTTGGTGTCAAATGGGTGCTTTGGAAGCTCGCTCCTGTATCCGCGCTCCAGCACGGAACAAATGATTGGAATATTCTATTTTTAGACTACTTGCTCGACTGGCAAGCCTGCCTGCCACTGACATCACAGCACTGAAAAGTGCACGAATATTTGAATATTGGTTTTGGCACCATTTTCATTTGCCGATTTCACAATACCTATTATGAATTTCGCGATTCTAAATAGCATACCGGAAAGGCTAAAGGCCGGGGAGTCAGAAAATATAGTTAGTTGAGGTAGCTCAAATAATCGGTGGAGTACCCCTTTAAGACCTCCCATCATTACTAAGTAAATTAATAGACAACAACTTAAGCGTAAAAACTACATGTTTATATAAACTTATTAATTCTGACTGATTCTGAATGATAATGCAAACATACATTTTTATCCCACATTTGTGAGCGTTTGTGTGGTCTCTTCTTTCGTTGCATGTATGCATTCTTTTCTTTTTTTGTTTCTTACGACCGTGTGCCTGCCCCTGCCAGGAAAATGGGTGTGGACCTAGTCAAGTCAACATGTGTTGACTCTTTGCTAATGTCCCCATTGCATTTGTGTATGTATAGATGATATAAAGTGAATTTGAATGTTGAATTTGTTTTCTTGCCATGGGCTTGTTTATGCTTTTGGCAGGCCCCAGCCACATGGCACTGGTGATGTCGCCCCGGGACGGGGTGGAGTTGCGTGGGTGGTCCTTCACAGCGGGCGTCGCCACGAAGGGTGTCTCCTGGCAAGGAAGACCGACATACTTCGTCTATTTTTCCCAGGGAAAGGACGAAGGACCCTGGGACTTTTGGCTTGAGCTATCGGTAAGCGGATGTGGAAGCAACCCTTGTTCATACGCTGTGGGTCAAAACCTAGCCTAACATTAAACTAACCTAACTTAATAGCCTAAACTAGCATAACATAAACTAAACTAAACCAACTTCACATACCATAATTTGAACTAAACTAGCCTCACCTAACCTAATTTAAAAAAAGCCTAGCATAAACCAGACTAGCACTTTAGTTACACTGGTTTAGTTTAAGGTTAGTTCAGGTTAGGGTTTGACACCTAAACTAACCTACCGTAAACTAGCTAACCTAACCTAAACTAAATACTAGCCTAACCTAATCTAGCATAGGCACTGACTGAACTTAAACTAGTCTAACTTAAACTGAAGTAAACTAGCCTAACCTAACCTTGAACTAACCTATAAATTAACCTAACCCTGTAACCTAGCATAACATATTCATGCTTGGGAAGGATTTTATTTTGCAACTCAGGGGAAGGAAGGAATGCCTCAATACTTAGCTGCAGGAGCGATCGATATCAACACTCTTCTCAAAACTTCTGTTTAACCACACACAAGGAGTGTGACTTGGTATTTTCAACTCTTCCAGCTTCCCCCAAACCACCCGACCTCAGAGCCAGTTTTGGACATAGCCTTCCACACACACCTGATGCAACAGTCCGAGCATCGCCAGCCAGAGTTCCTTCGTTTTCTTGACGAACTTCCAGACTGGATCCACGGCACTGCCTGGTCTTCAAGCGTGGACCTGTTCGTATTCTGAGTGCCTGTTAACGCAAAAGAGGCGGCAGATTGCTCGCAGATGGCGACACACGCAGACGTTCCTGCCATTGTTGCTCGATTTTTGTATTTTCGGTAGAGCCGGTGTTGAGCCAGACTCGGCCACGGTAGCAGTTCTGCCGCTGGAAACAGTCTTGTCCGGAAAATTGCTCTAGACTAGCTGTTGCTTTCTGTTTCAACCATTATTTCCTGCTTCCTCGAACCGACATTCCTTTGATGTTTCTCTCATTTTCAGGAATTTTCAAAATGGGGGGTTTTGTTAGCTCGTTTCCTCTTTTTCGTTGTGTTGCGGGGTTTATCGTTTTGTTTTTATAAATGAGTGTACGTGCGTGTGTGCAGGTTTCTAGTAACTTTCATTTGGATTTTGACAAGCATAATGCTAAAGTTTTAAGTACCTGCATAACCAGGTTCGCCCAGTGCCGACGGCATGTTGTCATGTGCATGGCAACAGCATTTACATTGTGCGCGACCGTAGTGCCGAGACAGTGCATCAGTGGCTTGCTCACTTATGTATGTGAATGACCGAGTGACGTGCGTCTGCCCTTGCAAACGCCCTTTGAATGAACAACATAATCAAGCGACGCAATTCATATCATTTGTACGGCTTACGCTAATGCAGCTGCTTTTCTCAGTCTCGCAAGCCGCTTGGATGAGAGCTTTTCTTTCTAAATGTATTTGAGGCTAGGATGGGTCGACCGCCGTTCAGAGCTCGTATGGGGCGGCTTGCGTTCCTTAAAGGAGCTGTGCAACAATTTCAGGGCTTTGATTAAATAATAGTGGAAGTTGATGCCTGACACTTTTGGAGTGAAATACAGAAAACAGATTTTGCCTGGATACCATAGTTTTTATTTAAAAAAATGAAAAGATCCAGGTTTTTGCCACCGCTCAACTCGTACATCGTCTTCCGGGTCACGTGCGCAGTGACGTCACTTGAGCAGGCGCGGGGTTCCGGAAACGTTCTCTCTTTAGAACCATCAGCGAGCAGCGAGAACTCATCCGCTCGCGACCGCGTGACCACGTGCTGGCGGGCGCCCGCGAAATATACGGTGAAAGGAGGAAAGTCTCATACGGGTCCGGCCATACCCGTCCTTGCCCGTCCGGCGCTGTCCCCCTCCCCCTCCGGCCTCTGGCGGCTATTCGCGGTTTTGTCGACCTAAGGTAGATGGCGCCACTAAAACCCCTTATTACAAAGTTTTGTCGATGGTACCAGGGTTTTCACGCATTTATATATATGTTGGAACGACAAGATTTATAGAAAAGTTACCTTTTATCGAGCAGGTATTTGCAAAACTTGCTATCTTTTTTACAACTACCCAAGAGACGTCACGCCGCTTGTTTCTCATGGCCGCCGCTCGTGGCTGCAGGTCGGGAAATATTCCAAGTTTTGCCTGGCTATTACGCGGCGGAATCGCAACATTTCGATGAAAAGAGGTGTGTTTTCTGCCATTTGTGACACAGTGAACAATATCAAAAGCAGAAAATGCCTATTCTTTCAACGTTAAAATCGTTGCACAGCTCCTTTAACCACTAGAGCGGACGAAACAAGAAAGAAATAGTGTCGTTTGTTGCCACTTTTCTAGTCTATTGTCGTAACAGAATTGGATAGCTGTTAATTGTGAGAGGGTAGGTGGTGCAGGGTAGGTACAAATACTATAGTTGCTAGCAGGGTCTTTATAGGAGCATTGGAGAAGAAGAGATTAAGATTTGTATAAACGAGTTAAGATGTGTAGATTTTTTTTCGGAACGACACTTCGACCGTCCCGTTAACGCGCACACATCTCAAAGTACACAAGTGCACCTAGTTCTCTTAAGCTTGTGCGTGCCTTGTAATTTGGGCGGCATTTTTGCGCATTCTTGGTTGTGTGTTTCTAGTCGATGTCACGGCGAAGCACTGTTTTTCGTTCTCTCATTTGAAGATCTATGCAACATATCAGTGCTCATGTAACGCTTGCTGTAATATGTTTACGCGCTCACCTAGTCATGTCCATTGCCACCAGACCCTTCCCTGTATAGCGTCATGCTGTCTTAGATATATATATATATATATATACTACGTCATTTACACAGAAATGAAGTCGGCGGAAAGGCATTGAATGTGGTGACGATGTGTGTTTGTGACGAAGGATTGCTTATTTACCGTTTACTATTTATAAAAGTGCTATATGCCGTTTTTGCAATGCCATTGCCATCCCAATGTGAATTCAAAACTGAGCAAATGCATTCCTTCAATGGCCGGACTGAGACCAGTGGAAAGCGGATGAATGTCGGCAAAGCGTCGGCACGTTTCCGCCAAGCATGGTGCTAGCATGGCGAGTCCAGTTGGAGAATGGTGCAAGTGTGACGGATCACGAGAAAGCACAAATACTACTTGGTTGTCTCAGAAATGTCTGTGATTTCGAAAACACACAAAAAAAGAGATTTGCGAGCCTTGTTCATTCTATCGTTGGTCGCTGTCGTGTGCATAACCAATATGCAATTTTGAAGATCAAACTAGTATACAGTAATGCCTTTTCGGAGTTGCTTCGTTGTTGTCTGCGTAACGCCGTGCCTTTGCCTCTCTCGTAGCGACGCCGTTGACGAGTTTACGGAGCGTACAGAGCATTTGTTTCGTCATTCCTGGGGACCGCGCTTCCCAAATGGTGGCGCAGCTCGCCTCTTAGCAGTTCAAGACATGGGACCAAATAGAAGTAGAGGTTGTTAATGTGTACTTTGCTAGTTGTTTATGATCAAGTTGTGTTTGCCATGGTACCTAAATGTAGGACCAGTCACCCTTGTGTTTTTTTTTGTAAGCACAGGCATTTAGATAATAAAACTGAATGCATAAATGATGTTTTGGTGATGACTGGGAACAGGTTGTGAGAGTGGGCCAGTGCCAATTATCAAGATGCTAAGGATTGATGGACAAATCAGCTGAGGTGTGGTTGTTTTTGCACGTGAAGTTTGTGACTGGTGATTGACAAAAATGTATCACAAATTGTCCTGCAACTGTGTTGCTACGTGAAACATTCTTGGCTTAGCGCTAGTAACCCCCAGGCATTTCTTCCCGAGCAGTGCCTCTAGGTCTCTCCCCCAGAACCGTTTATACTGAGAGAGTTTGACCTCCTAAGAAGAGATTTTGACTGTCTGGCAACCACAGCAGCATAGTCTGACAACCGGGGGATGACTACTTCCGTCCGCCATTTTGTGGTTCTGACTTATACGAACTCTGTGATTTCAGGAATAAACAAGGCAAAGAAGTAATGTCATTTTGTGTTATCACGAAATCCATAGGTTCTAGCGGGCAATAGGCTCCGCCCATTGACCAAATTCTCTCGGTATAAAGGCTCTGTTCCACTCCATCGACTCCACCCACTCCTCCTGACTTCATTGATCCTTTGACTTTCTCTGTCGGGTTGGCCCCTGTCCGCAGAGCATGAGGAATGGTGGGTAGGGGTGTCGCGAACTTTTGTCGAACCGGATTTTTAGGTCGAACTTTCGGGGTTCGACTGGGTCAAACCGGTTCGACGAACCTTCGAAACTTTTCACCAGATTCGACCGGTTCGACTTTGCGGACAGTGTGGCCAGACCTTGATAGACGCATGTCTAGGTTTGGAGAATTTATTTTTATGCAAACGGTTATTTTATTTTATGAACAGTTGGAATTAAAAGAAACCACTTCTATAATCACTAAAGACGTTAATAACTTAATTTTTTTTGTACTGTATTAACTGAAATAACCAATTAGCGGTGCCCTTAATTCATCCATTAGCCATTACCATCCAATCCGAAGCCAACTGGCCAGCCATTCGCGCATGCGCACACGAGTCGAACCTCAATACAAGGTTCGTCGAAATTTCCACGAAAAGTTCGAAAAAGTCGAACCAGGTCGAACTTGAACCTCAGCCGGTTCGCGACACCCCTAATGGTGGGTAGCGGGTAAACTACATTTTTGTGTAGGTCACGTCAGACATGTACAAATTACTCAAAGAAAGTAATGAAGTTACTGAGTATATGCCTCAGAAGTAAGTTGAATAGAGTAGAAGTTACTCAAATGGAAAGTAATTTGAGTAAATTACTAACTATTCGCGACTCCAGCAAAACGGACGCCGCCAAGCGGGAAAACCGGGAACCAGTCGGTCTAGATCGCTCCGCGCCCCGCCGCGTCTCTGGTGGCTTTCGCGGACACGTGCTGTCGGCGCGGGTGCGAGCAATGTAATTTGACGAAGGTCCGAAAATTTCTTAAGTTTGCCTGAGTGTTCATTAGTGTGGTGAAGCCTTAGTAGATTGTTTCTTTCCATCACGTGTTTGAAAGCCCGTTTACTCCACAGCACACGGTCGAGCGCTTTTAATTTTTTGGATGGGGAGGAATCACAGAAAAACGTTTGATTTCTTGTCTGTCTCTAATCACATTCAAAGTGACGACTACTTGGTAACTGATAAGTGGTTTCTTTATAAGGATCTAGAACAGTGGACTGAGGTCGACAGACTGTTTCACTGGAGGGAACACCAATGTTGCAGTCAAGTGAATGGGAATGTTCGATAGCTGTTTTTCTTGAGTTTGGTTGTGCTCGATTAGCTTCAAGTTTGAGCCACTAACGCCGGCCAGTACGTTGACTGTTCATCTTGGCTGCTTTTCGCCGAACAAGACCACCCTGAAGGAGTTGGGCTGATTCGCAATTACTTGATTCATCAAACCTGCTCGCTGCATAAGATTAGTAAGGGAAATTATCTGCTTTCAAAAGGTGGGGATTATAACCCCTGTCGAAGCCAGCAGCAATATACGTCTGCATTGCTCAGGTTGACCGGCCACAAAAAATACTCATTTTATCCTTTCAGGATTCGAAGTCCATTGCAGAGAGGTCTGAGTGAATCTCCGATGAAGACTCTCCTCAGTTTGTCCGCATTCGTCTCCGTTCTACCGGCTAGAACCATTTGGCTAAAATTAAGTAGTATCTCTCTGTCTGTCAAATATACTTTTATTCAGCAGTTCACCTAGTAGTTAGTCAACTAAGTTCATATTTCAACCCGAAGAATATACTAATATCGCTTTAGTGGGACATTGTACGTAATATAATACATAATCCGCCTATTCGTCAAAATGACTTCTCGATTGCTACTGAAACCTGAATTTAAATACGATTATCAGCTGCTTAGTGAAGCGCCAGCGGGTTAACATGCTCCTTGGCTCAAGAAGCGCTTGCTTAATTTTCGTAATTTTCCTGCAGCCTGTGTTCTTGACCGAGAACGCGACTGGAGCTGTTTCTTGAAACGCGGACACGCACAAAAGCTCAATTTCGCGGACAGATAAGTCGCATGGTCGAGGCATGCGAGTTAGTTAAAAATTACTCTGGGTGGAACAATAGACCCTTTCCGAAATTCAGTCTGGCCACTTTGATCACTATCATCATCATCCGAAAAATGGCATATGTGCCATACCAATGGCGGCTTTCTATTTACTGATGAAGGAGCATGTTGAAGATACTCCTAAGCTGAGGATTCGAGGCACGTTGCAAAGCCGGAATTGAATGCAAGCGCTGCGTAAGCGTTCATTTCTCTAATTCGGGCCCTGTGAACCTGTTAGTGGCACAAAGTTGACTTCGAAACCCCTTGACTTATAGAACTTTATTAAGGCGTCTGTCTGGGCTGGCGCATCGTTCTGACTGGTTGCATCTTTGTGGGAATCGACACTGGAAGAGATCATCCAGAAAAACCTGTATAGCGAAGAGTTTATTCTCGTCTGCCGTTGGCACT